TATCTCGAACCTGAACTTCGCGTAAAGGTTTACGCTAAACTATTCTGTGGCCTCTGGATAGGCAAGGGGTGACTTTGCGGGCACCCGCGGTGCTATAAACAGTGGTAAGTTCACTCCTACACGTTTCTTTACGCGGTCGACGATGTTTGCTGAACATCCTCACAGCAGGTCTGCGTTGGCGTTAGCTTTTACACCGCTCCCAGCGACAACATCGAATCTAAACCCTCCTGTTGGTAGTCAAATACCGGTGTACGGTACTACGCCTCCCAGGTCGCCCGTGGTACCATCGCCGAGGTCAAGATCAAGAGCAGGCAGTACAAGTGGTTCCTCAACTCCGAAACCTCGAACAAGGACCGTTCAAACACGAGCAAGGGCATCTTCAACAAACATCCATCTTCTACCGTATTCCCACTTTGCTTTCTCGTCATATATGTCTCAGCTGCAAAGTCCTGGAAGTCCTCCTCCGTACTCTCCGACTCCACCAGAAATCAACACCAGCTCTTCTTTCCTTTCAAGGAGAGCTGCTTCATCCCCACATCTCCATTCTCCTCCTTCTTCTCCGGCTGCTCTGCATTCTTATCCTTACTCCGGCAGCAACTCACGTATACCTTCATCTTCCAACCTGAATGGTCCAAGAAGCAGATTTGTCTACCCTTCCGAACGCTCTGAAACTTCTGACGACCCAGATACAGATACTTCGCCTGAAGATACTGTAATTTACACGTCCACCCATCCAAGTTTGTCTGGCACCCTGCGAGCGAGGATTTTCGGAACAGGGAAGGGTAGAGCGGACGAAGGAAGGTCTATCACAACTGCACCTGGTGTTATTGGTGCTGGGGAGACAGAAACTGAAGGCGAAGAATCGGTGAGTTAATTTCTCGTCAATGGAATGGTTTGTTGGACTTTGTGGGCGTCCATATATGCGTATGATTCAGCATCCCTGCTGTCTGTTTGCAACTCGGCTGTGCTCAATGGACATTTAACATCCAAGTGGCAGGTTTTGAATATGAGTGTTCTTCCCGTCAGTTTAACTCACCTACCGTATCTTCTTTTCTAGCCGCGCAACCTTCCGACTGCGCGTATAACACCTCCATCAACTTCAATTCCCTTACTTTCTACCCTTGCGTCGACCGCTACGACTCATTTACTCGATCCACCGCGTGCTCTAATTCCTACCTTGTTTGAACTGTCTCGTTTGCTCTCAATTGTACCTGCTGTCTTCGGAACGCTCTATAATTTATACCACGTCCTCTTTCCTCCCGGTGGGTTGAATTGGTGGAGGGTTGATTATTTCCTTTGTGTCTTATGGGTGAGTGGCTTTAGCTTCATTCTCTTCATTAGCCTTCCACTTATTTACCCTTTTTAGTCTATCTTAACTGGCTGGCAATGTTTACAGCTTACAACTGGTTTGTTGAAACGTTGGCGGGTGTATTATACTCCACTACCAACACTGATTAGACTGCTGGCCTTACAAGGTAACGTGTCCATTCTTAGTCTACATGTCAAGATTCTGGCTAATTTTCTCTATATTATCAGCTATATGTTGGCCAGCAACGCACTTTACGCTTACGATTCTCCAACACGATAAACGACCTCTGATTTGTTGGGCTGCGATAGGAACGACAACATGTTGTTCAAGAAGTATTCAGATGTGGGTCACATCTAATATCATCGTCACCTCGCCCTCCCACCATCATCACAATCATCATCATCACCACAACCATACCTCGTCATCTCTGACGCCAACGCCATCGTCTACTTGTGTCTCTTCCTCTCTCAGAAGAGATTCCACACAAACTCTCAGTAGCAATATCAACGCAGAAAAAGAAAGAATGAAGATGGGTAAGAGGAGGAAATGGGACTGGACAGCTGTTGGCAGGTATTGCGTTTTACCTGCTGGGATCCTTTATTTTGTTATGGCTTGGGTGGAACTTCTAAGAAGGGAATGGGAGACGAAGGGATGTTGATGAAGGTTCCTTTGGATCCTTTATTTTCGGTTTCCATTTCATATATTCCACTCACGGACCCTGTTCCTCTCGAATCATCCACCTTTTGATCACACTGACGATGCCAGTTCAATCTTTTCTTTTTTGGTGCCTATGTTCTCTGAGTCTGCCATTTATCTTTTTTTTTTTTTTTCGAAATCGCTTTATCATTATTCTTGTGCTTCAGGTCATTATGATATATCCTAACGTCCCCTGTATACAGTATCTCGTCATCTTTTTTGTTACGTCTCTTTATCTTTCCATACGTACGTACCCAGCATGTATTATCACCCCGTTTCACTTTCTTTTGTTGCAGAATATATTCCAGTTGTAGAACAAACCCATTCGACGTGCCGTGCGGGATCCGGAAGTCGGAGTGCACTGGCTATCTCCTGATCAATCTTCGCGACTCAACAACACCTTCCGCTGACTATGGGCCACAGTACATAGAACATTGGCAATATACCCAGATATTGAGAGGAGACGAAAAAGAAATTGGTATTCCATTAACACAACAAATAATTTACCATGGTATGCGTAACTATATCTACTGTAATCGACTCTAACTGACTGACTCTCGTGTCTAATTATATCTAACACGAACCACCCTCCTTCCTCAGACAAGTCAAGTCAAGTCTAAATAAACAAAACAGGCTTCCGACTCGAGGATGTTAAACTTAAAGTAAGTATCCGCCGGAACCCTTCATCTCAGTCAACATCAAGGGTCCGAAGACTATACATGCCGTCCAGAACTAAGGAATAGCAACGTAAAGTTAGCTTTTGAAGGATGTAATATGAAGAATGCAGTGCAGCGACCTACCACGTTGAAACTCTTCAATAGTAGAGCAGGATATTCATCGACGCTTGGTACAACCATGATGACTTTATCTTGACCTGGAACTTTTCGTGGTTGTGCATGGAAGAACATGCAATAGATAGAATAGAAAGCGACGGCGAAGAAATGTTTGAATAGGAGGAATGGTGAAGCTGTGATTCTGATAATGAAACGGATTCAGGTTTTGAGTTAGTATGTGTGATTAACATGATATGATGTGATTTCTGAAGGAAACATACCCTGATAGCAGTGAAACGGGACCATTGATGCATTCACCGCCAAGTTCAAAGTATTTGAAGCATCCCATTCGTAGGACTTCCAAGTTTTGTTCTGTAGTAGAGGAGAAGACGTGAGTCATTGAACTGAATGAATGACGTCTAGTCATGAATGAATGAATTCTTACCATCAGCTCCGAACAAATCATACAACGCGACACTGAGAATGTTCACAGTGGAACCGAGAGGTTTTCGTTTCCAATGCCATGTGTGAAGGAGACTTGAGATTTCCTTCCAGTCAGCGTAATCGCGTACATGGGAGAGGAGATCGCGAAGAATGAGGACATCGTTGAAAGCCACCATCATCCCTCCACCTGTGAGTGGATGTCGCATATTCCATGAATCACCGACTAGGAAGACACCCTCCTTATGGAATTTACCACCTTGTTCGGAAGGCGGGAGGAAGGAGTTGGGCATTCTTCGAAGTCGGTCACCTTCGAGCGCTTTATGAAGCGAGAGATGCACTGAGGAGGGTAGTTGGGGGAGAATATTGTCCAGAATAAAAGCCTGAGCAAGAAATGCTTTTAGCTAACGTCGAAGAGATGGTGGGAACGAAATAAATATACCTTCAAGTCAGAGGGAAGAGGTGCTTTAACGTCAATGAGAATGCGAGTATCGTGAGTACCGATTTGGTACATGAGGACAGGACCTTGACCCTTGATGAGTGCAACAGTTCCACATTTGTCAATGGGTAGTTTAACGTCCTCCATGATAGCAGCGACGAAGTGACTCTTAGTCTCAGGTTTGATGCCAGCTTCACCCATGACTGCTGAACGGAAGTTGGAGAAGCAACCATCTGCAACGATAGTCAAGTCGGCGTAGAAAGCTTCCTTCTCCACTGCATCGTCTGCTTTACGCGTCGCACGGACACCCAGCACTCGACCTGTCATAGAGCATTCAATGAGTTCGGAGACGGTAGCTTCCACAACCTCCACCCCAGGTGCCTCCTTCGCCTTCCCTCGCAACGCTTGAATAAATCGACCATGATGGAAACTGCGACCTTCGCGAGCGTTGGGATATGGAATGTGAACTGGTTTACCGTCGAGCACCACGCAATAACCATGGACTGGTACCGCGTCAATTCCTTCTGTACATGAACCCAAACCGAGCTTTTCCAAAATAGCGCAACCACCAGGCTGTAACAATTCTCCGACTATACGGTCCGGTTCTGCAAGAGACCTCTCGAGAAGACAAATTCGAAGAGGTTTATCCCTTTTGGTTGAGGCAAGGGCGTGAGCGAGAGAACAGCCCACTACGCCCGCGCCGACGATGATGATGTCGTAGGAAGTAGACCACATATTGGCTCGTGTTGAAGACATTGTCGAGGAGAGGTCTTTGAGGTTTTTGAAGGGATCTCAAGGTCGTCTGGGGCTTCGCTCTGGCCTGCTCGACACTGGCCTCGGCTTTGAAGGAGATGATGGTCGTGAAATAAAGTCGTGCAATGCTGGCGGAGAGCTTCAATGTCAGACCATAATTTCCATCCTAACCGAATTTCTCGATTTGGCTATCTCACGTGATTTAATTGTATCTCCATATGGGCGCTAAAAGGCCTCGTGTCTCTTTAACTTCGCGCTTGGAGGCTGGACCGAAAGAGCTAAAGATTACGATAATATTGGGAGCGCAAAGAAAATAAAACCGGTTTGCAAATTGAGTTTGATCAGAAGTACACCACATTCTATGTCGTGTACATTTTCTGTTCGCCAGCTCCGTTGACTCGGCTGAAGGACTGTAAAAACTTGGCTGGGACCCAACTGTACTGAGATGGGTAACACACTACCATGTTACAGCCATGTCAATTGAACAGCTTCAAGTCAAACGTCATACAAACAAGGAAGATCTCAAACACGACCGTTATTAGCTGAATGATCAAAATCTGATCTAAGAATATGAGAGAGCAGTATAAAAGGGTCCAACCGGGATTTGAACCCGGGATCCCTTGCATTTTCTTCCCAAAGCAAGTATCTTGCCACTAGACCATTGGACCATTGGTACTGCTTTTTATGAGCGTATTATGGGACGCGAAGGACTCAGAGGTGTCGGCAAAGTCCGAACGTTGAGTAGACGCTTTGTTTGGTCTTGTTGTCCAAAGGCCTGCTCCACATTTCCAAAAGTAGCCAGGACTGCTATCAAATTTCGCCCCACCATGAGCAGAGTGGGCTGTCACCAGTTGGGTGCTGCTTTTCACATGCTAGAATTGACGTCAGTCTCTCCCATACCATCAGAGTTTACAATGTTGAGTAAGGCTTTCCCAAAAACCACAACCATCTCCAACCTCAGCATCCGTCTGCACATCGAGCTCGCTGTTCTCAACGATGTCGGCAATAAAGTCGGAATATCACAATTTCACTTCGTTCATATCTACATCTATCTCCCATGCTATGTCGTTGGACATTGCTGGGTTGCTTTCACCGAGTAGATTCATGCAATTCATCTTCAACATCTTTTACATTTTGATGCAAAGGATTATCATCTTTTTATTCAAACCGGCGAGTATATTTGAGTCCCCACCACTATGGAAAGACCGTATTGAGAAAATGATATCAGGCATTTCCAAAGCGCTCAGATCAACCAACGAATCCGAAAGGTCGAATTGCTGTGGTCGGTGCTGGTCTTACCGGAATATCTTCCGCAGCTCACGCTATCGCACATGGGTTTGACGTTGTCATCTTCGAGAAAGATAACAGAACTGGTGAGTGTTCATAATAATTATCGCCGTCTGCATTTTTATAACCGCTTAATGACTGAGTAGGTGGAATATGGTCTCATGTCAATAGCACATCTGGATTGCAACTGAATTCTTTGTTGTACCGCTTTCACCCGGCTGTTTTGTGGTCAGGAACTTTCCCTCTCCGTGACGAGATTCTTGGAGGTATGTCTCCACAAAAAAGCGAATAAATGGGCAATTCAATCACTGACTGTCTTCAACCAGAGATCAACTACGTGTGGAAGACCTACAAGCTCGATTCTCGTACTCGATTCAAAACCGAAGTAACTTCTGTTCATCGTGTCGATCATGACTCTGAAGGGAACAAGATTCAAGCCGATGATTTGGATCCGAGTCAACGTGGACATGCTCGCTGGGTCATCAACGACGGCAGCGAAGGCGTATTCGACGCAGTCATCGTCACAGTTGGGACCTGTGGTAAACCTCGATGGGTCAAATTCGATGGCATGCCCTCTAAGGAAGATTTGCATCATAACGAGGAACATCAGGCCGCGTCAGAAGATGACAATGAAGCTGGAGAAACCGAGGGGATTGATTTGGCAGAACAAGAACAAGCTCAAGCTCAGGCTCCTCGAAAGTCTGCTTGGTCGAAACCGGACTCGGGTCAGGTACCAATCCAAGTAATTACGCTTGACCAGGAAATCAAGAAAGCAGACAACTTCCCAACACCAACCGAAGCTTATTTTGACGCAGCGTCTTCGTTGTCGAGTTCTGTTTCAGGGACTGAACCTACTACTCCCAAAGCCACTGATCGTGAGCTAGATGATCATCCAGGACGGAAAACAACGGCTTGGCATAATGCACCACCCCAACCACCTCCTGCCGTACTCAAGGCTGACCAAGAAGCAAAGAAGGCGACACAATTCCCTACGCCTGCTGAGGCATATCCCATCACCCCGACCTCTTCTGCACCCAGCTCTCCCGTTATCACACCTAAAGCTGGCAGTAAGCATGAGAAGCAGGGTGAAGGTTCAGTCTCTGATCATGGAGATACTGAGGACGACGACGTATACACTAAAGGCACGATTGTTCATTCTTCTGAACTTGACGAACTCGACGCCGGAAAGATCAAAGATGGTAAAAAGGTAGTTGTGATTGGAAGCGGTGCTAGTGGTGTAGAGGCTGTAGAAGCCATTCTGGACAAGGCAGAGGGTGAACCTGTCGACATTGTGATACTTGCACGGGAGGATAAAGTTCGTACATTTCATACAGCATATCATACATCTAACTAGATGTATTTTATCATCTTAGTGGGTCATACCTCGCAACATGGTTATCGATACACTTATTAGTGCTCAACCTTTTGGAAGGCAAATGCCACTCAGGTATGATCCTTCCTTGATCAATGCTTTATAGAAATCGTTATTGAGCCTTTTATTTTTATTTTAGCTTCTTATGGGAAAAATTCATCTTATTGTTGAACTATCGTGGAGTAACGGATTTAGCACCTGTGGACAAAGGTCTCTTCGAGAGCACACCAGTACGTCGCAAGTTCATACCATGACACATCTACTAATCCATGATTAATAATCTTCCAGGTAGTAAATGACACCTTCCTCCAACATGTCCGCAACAAGAAGTGTTCATATGTTCGTGGGGACACCCTCCGACTCACCAAAAATGGAGTGAAAGTCAACGTCCGACAACGCGGAACTAAACCCGGAGACAAGGGAGAAGAGAAAGTTTTTGATGCAGACATAATTGTTTTCGCCACTGGGTATGAGAAACCAGATGTTGGCTTTTTGGAGAAGGAGCTGTTTCCAGAAGGGTATGAGGTGAAGATCCTCCAATGTCTATTTCCGTGAGATTTATGATCAATTGATTCATCTTCTCTTCGATGTTTAGAGACCAAATTTATATTTGCAGAATTTCTGTACTGAGGATTGGTCGATCCTCCTAACCAATTCGGCATATGTGAATGCAATAGGAACAGTGTAAGTCCATTTGTTACATATCGAGAGTTCATCTTTATTTATTTCTGTATGCCAGTGGACATTTGTGAGTACTAAGTCATACATTTTACAAGAGATACTCTTTGCTAACTGTCCCATTACTCTCGCCGCTTCAAGCCATATTGGAATTTGTAAGTATTCTACGACTCGTTAATGGGAGATTACTTAAACAGTTATGTTCTTTAGACACACGAATCCTCCTTACTTTCCTCATGGACAAGGATGCAAGACCTATTCCGAAGGATATGAAACTCTGGGTCGACGTCATCAGGTTCCTCAAGAGAGGTGCTAAAGGCGGCGCTCTTGGATTCTTCACTTACATGGAACTCAGTACGTTACATTATCAGTCGATCATCTGCCTCTCTAATCATTATGTTATATTAGCTATATGGTTATTGCTCTTTCATGTTTTGAGACCAGACAGAATTCGATGGTATGTTTGTTTTGCGTTGAATTACATGATCTGCGTTGCATGATTGATTGATTGTTGTTTTAGGGTGTTTTTCATTATGCAAGGATGGGGTGTATCTCCGCAAGAATACCATACTTGGTCTCCATAATGCATCAATTCTGGAGAGCTGGTGTATTTCATGATGGTGCCATGTCGTCTTTCTGAAGTATGTTCTATCGTAAATGTATGCTGCAGTCCAAACTGTACTTTCTCATATTTGCAACAATATCCTATCAATGTTTGAAGTACATAAGTGACTGGTGAGATTTTACAGTGGATGATGATATGCTGATGCTACACTGAAAGAGAGTAACAAAGGAGCGTGATCGTAAGGGGTAGTAATACACACTAATGAATACAACGAGAGTGTTAATAGGGAAAAGTTCATGGTTTCGTTACAAGTGTTAAATGAATACTAGTCATCAAAAGTCCATCTTTGAACGTTGAGACCAATGAGCGTTGTTCTCAACTTGATCCCAAAGTGTATTGATGCTGTCATCATCATTGAATGAGGAGTCGTCGTCCTCTTGATATAATGAAGGATCTATCAGCATTTTGTTGGTACGGAAACACAAGTTCCATCGACTAGTTTTTCGCAATTCTTCAATATCTTTCTGTTCAAAAGTTCAACATTTGTGACGGATGAAAGAGCGGGGAGAGATTACTTACGATGACAGCATGGCATTCATCATGCATGTAGTCGAGATCTCTAAAGATATGATCTTGGACGGACAAAAGTGCAGTCAAAATTTCTGAAGTTTCTTGGTTATTCTGAACATTTGCAACCCTGTCAGCCATAGCGTGCAGTTCTTCATGCATCAGAGGAATATAGATTGGTCGCCATCTAGAAACGAAAATGCCAATATTAAATATCAGAAAACTGATTAAAGAATTGGGGGAAGAAGAAAATAAGAAATGACACTGACTTCTCCCGACTATCTTTAAGAATTTTGGCTGACTGTTTATCAGTTCGAGAGAAATAGATTTGATGCATAGCTGGATCTTCGTCATAAAATGCATGAGCGATGAGTTGCAAGTTGTCGGTGATGGGTGGTGTCTCTATCAGACGAGTGGCAATGGTTCCAAATTGCTCCCATTGACCCCAAAGAGCGAGATGACGTCCTTGGTTGATAGCTGAATCGATTTTATGGCGAGTACAGAGTAGAGTGATGGAGGCAGCTTCCGGTGCAGGTTCGAGATCGCATAATATACTATCTGGGACATCCTAATGAATAGACGGTTGAGACGGTATTTTACGGATAAAAAGACCTTGATACTAACAAAGATGGAAGAGAAAAGTGCATCTACAGTTTGGCCTGGCACTGTTGGCATAGACATGTTTGAGATGGATGATTGAGGAGGAATCTGTGGCGTTCGTTAGAATGCGACTGGGAAATCGTATACAAGGACGGAATCACATTAGAGGGTTGGAGAAATAATGTTGAGTCGTCAGAAGACCTGCTTGTAGTGGTGGTGATGGAGGATATAGAATTGGTGGGCTTGGATGTTCAGCACATAGAGCAAGGATTCATTATTTATACGCACCACATAAACAAACGAGATCATCGGGGAATTGTCCCTTCGGATGTGAACGAGCTTCGAATATCGGGAACACAATTGCAAGAAATCGCTTACAATTGCCAGTGATTGCGGTGTTCCTGAATGCTTGTGGAAGAGGGGAGCTTATTGTCCTCCCGCGAAAGGTCACCGGCGATACATCGACCTCGCGGATGTCTATAACAATTGTAAGCAGAATGAGAGTGATATTGTCAATCCACCCACGAAAGATTAGCATTGACCCTGGTTAAAGCAAACGATGCGGCACCGGCTTTGTCTTCGCTAATTGTAATAGGTGT